AACAGAAGGAAATTTCCAATTTTAATTCAATATGTATTGTAAAGTCCACTTCAGATTAAGCCTACTTAGGAGATGACCTATTTTGCAGTGTGTATTCAGGAAGTGTCCCACCATTTCATTTCTTTTAAATTCTCTGTAAATTTTCAATGCATTGCAAGCAACTTTCATCTTTGAAACAAAGTACTTCTGGTATCATGGGAGCTGCATCTGCTGTTTTTGTGCCAGTCAGGGCCAACCTCAGCACGTCATGAGTAATGAAAATTGTTATGCCCTCTCTGCTTTACTTACTAAAATTTGTTCTTGGTCATTTACCCAGAACATCCAGAGGCTTGGTAACTGCACACACACTGCTCCTGCATCACTCCCTGCTCCAGGGATGGCAGGGAGAACAAGTAAAAAAAAAGGCATTTGCTTTCTGCCCCTAGGGAGATACTCTGGCACCTCCTGCTCAACATATGATATACTCTCATTAAATGGACATATACCACTTTTCTTCTCATGGTGTTTAGGAGTCCTGCTTGTTTTGATGTAAATTAGAGCTACAATAAGAGGGGGTTTTGTTACTCTCACCTCCCACTCCTGCAGAAATTGAACACCACACAGTGAATGGCTTTATGATTACAGAGCAGAATGGATTTTATGTTGTTAACAAAAGTAACTCTGTGATATGGGACAAACCACCAAAACCAAACTTTTCTTTAAGACATATTCTTTAATGGAGACCGATTCCTTACATATGTTGCTTGCTTAGGTTTTCAAGCAAAATCAGTGGAATCTAGGAATATTATGCACATCTGATAGAAAGACACATTATATCATGCTGGAATAAATACATGGGTGAAATTCAATGTAATTTTTGACCACTGTTACACTGCTTGCTTTCAGAAGCTCACACCTTTTACCTGCCTCAGTGTCTTCAGTGGCACAACACTAATGTTTTCATCCAGTTCAGCAACTCCTGACAGGAAATTGTGGTTTCCTAATCTTTCAGTAAAAACAAGCTTCCCAGAGACAGCATGTCAAAACCAAGAAGCCAGGCTGCAAAAGTAGGTCAGCTGGGTTATCCCAAGAAGAAGGGGAGAGCATCCTGGGCACCAAGTACAGCAGCCAGAGCACCTGCACAACCATTGTACTGTGCCAGTCAGACATATCCCCCAGAGGTCTGAAAGCTGTTTACTGCAGCAACAACAGCAGAAAGAGTGAGACAAAGCTAAAAAGCAGATTACCACATAAGCCAACAGATGTGGCAAAAATATAGAGAAAGGAGTGTTATTTCCATTGATCTTCAGGGAAAACAACAAGCATTAGCATCTCTGTTGTTTGAAGGCAAGAGAACAAGGGCTGTATCGGCAAGGCAATGTCTTACAGGATGAGATTTGGAGACTGAATGTTGCAAATTATTATGGAACTACAGACCCACTGAAGAACAGTGCAAGTGCTAAGAGGAAAGGAAGCTATGAGGCTACACTGGAGAAACTTTCTGGCAGTAGGACCTATTCAGCCACTTAGCAATGCCTCAAGACAAATTATCATTTCTGTATGCCATCAGGTGATTTGTAAGGGTGCAACCACAGTGTAAACCGATATGCTGTACTGAACAGTCTTGGCTGGGAGAGGGATGCTGGAGGATCCCTTCCTGGAGGATGCCGCAGTCGCACAGCCTCCTCCTCCTCCCAGCCACGGCCGGCTCGGCGGTGCCCCCGCCGGCTGCCAGCGTGAACACAGCGCCTCACCTGGGTGCAGGAGAGGAGCTCCTCGCTGCCCCGCTGCTTCCATCGCCTCTAACAATCCACGTCTTTAACCGCTATCCTTTATACAAAGCTTGGCAGGGATAACCACCTCCAGTTCTGCACAGTCTCCAGAAGCTGTGTTAGTCCTTCCACTGGAGAAGAGGAATTTACTGAGTCAAGAAAATCCCCCTGACAGCATTGGTGCCTGCAGGAATCTATGAAAAAGCTATTAAAATCTATTAAAAAGCTCAGCATTCAAATTGGGAGTCAGGATGTCACTGCAAAGACAAAGGCAAACACATTCACAAGGTTCTAATGAAGGGATGTGGTGTGCAAGGAACAAGTTATAATGAGATGTTATGTTCCTTCCCCCATCTTTTAGAACAATAAATAAAGAAGGATTTATTGTCCTGTGAAATATGAATGAGAGATTATTCAGGGGACAGTGGTCTTCATTCTGTTAGACTGACAGACACAACTCCTCTGGACTCAAATAATCTAATGACAGAACCTCCATTAATCCACAAAGCTTCGTTGTATCATGGGAATATGTACGGCTGTTGCTACATTTAGTAAATTTTCCTTCTGAGGAAAGTTACACATTTTGATAAAGCGCAGAAAGCATTTCAGGAAAAAAGAAGTAATTACTGTGTCAGATTTTCATAAAGGTAGAATTATAGAACTGTTTAAGTTGAAAGGGACCTTAAAGATCATCTAGCTCCAACCCCTCTCCCATGTTCTAGACATCAGTGAAAGCTGGATAGTTGGGCAGAAACAGACACCAAAACTTCCAAACCCTTCAGAAAACATAAATAGAAAAATGCTTAACAGAGAGACAGTGCATGCTTTTTAGTCAGAGCACTTCCAAAACATCAATAATGGGACAAGTCAGAGGGGAAAAAGAGACCGGGAAGGGGGGAGAGGGAAATGAGGTATATGTATCCCTGACATTAAATAATTAAGACAGACATATATGCATGGATAATCCCTCTCAGACACTTTCATATGAAAGTATATCAACAATGAAAAGATAAAGTCATTACAGATTTGGCAGTGCTTTCCCACCACTGCAGCTGACAACTTCCAGCAGAGAATTGCTGAATGTACACCTGGCAGAACTCAGCTCAGCAACACAGATGGGTTTGTCCTCTGCCATGCCATATGCAGGCAAAAGGCAAACTACTTCAACAAGTCCAGCTCTTTCAGACTGCTGTGGGTGTGCAGACAGCTCTCAGAAACTACGCATGTTTGTAGGAAAGGTGGCAGCTTTCTGGAGAGCAGCAGTGACAAAGAGCTGAGCAGGTAACCACCAAGCTACAGCTGCAGTGGGTGAAGGCAGTATAAGCCATGTAGTCCAGTACCATGGCAACTAAAATTCTACTGAAAAGACTGCATTTTGAAAGTTGCACATGGAGCTACTGCACTTGTTTCACAATCAACTCTTTTCTGACTCTACTTAAAGTTTCACTTCTGCTATTTGGTGCACCGCTTGGGTAAAAGCCTTTGGGAACAACCAAAAGGAAAACATTTTAAAAGGAGGAGTTTTTATCTCTCTGGATTTTGCCAGTTGAGTCTGTGCTCAGCTCAACAGCAGCATTAAATTATTTCTCAACAAATTCTGTATTTCTGCAGAACCCAGAAACTTTGCATACCTACAGGATGGTAAGTAGCATTTCAAGTCACCCTGTAATGACACCAATCCACATGAAACAGGGGAACACTTACAAAACAGACATAAGTAAAACCTGAGTTTTTACTGACTATGATCACAAGTCAAAGACAACTCAAAGACATCAAGGATACCTTTACATTCTGCTTAGCTAGCAATGCCACATTCTTCAGTGATAGAGTGACCCCATTGCCCCCCCATCTCGCCACCCCAAGTGTCAGTGGTTCTAGAACTTTTTAATTTAACTTCTGAAAAACTTGAGAAACAAAATTCAGCTACCTCACAAACCCCTAAATTACTCTAGGTACAAAGAAACAAGTGTTTCTAGAAGAAGCATGTTACTAGGAATGCAGCAGAAGTTTGTATTTTGGTGTGTTCGGGGTTTTTTTTCTATCAGCATACTACCAAAGCAGAAAGAATTTACAGGTTTGTTCATTAACTGTTCTCCAGTTTTCCTTTTACAGATTTTATTTCCAGAACAGTGTGGTCAGAACTTCAGACAGAGAGAAGCAAGTTATTTTAGTTCTCAAATTATTGATCTCATGACATTCAAATCTGCCAGAAGTTAGAGCCTGATCAATAAATCCCTGTAAGGATTTATTGAACCTTACAGTGGTAAGGAAGCATTGCTCCAAGGTTTATCTTCCTTATGGCAAGGCTTATACTGCCTCATAAAAGGCACTCATGGCTGTGGGCCAGTTTGCATGACCAGTAAACATAACATTTTCACTGCAGATGCCTTTGTTTTTATCCTAAAGAGGACTCCTCCTTAGGAGTCAGCCATCCATGCACACAGTGGGTGAGCAGTGAAGAAGTCTGCTTTGAGGATAGCTGAAGTTTTCTGTTCCATTCCTTCTCTTTGGGAAAGGATTCCTTACAAGATGGAACCTGTGTTCTCCAAATCTAAGAATTCATTCCAACAAAATACCAAGACAAAATCTGGAATGGGAAATACTTCACACATCATATGTAAAATAAATTATCAGTATCTAACTAATTACAATCCAGAAATGCAGATGTGTATATGACTCACCTCATATATTAATGTACAAATAATTTTTTTCTCAAGTATTTGCAAAAAAAATCTAAAAAGGAATTTAAAATTAATTGAGTTACTTAGAAAACTGGAGGGGGTGAGGAGGAAACATGCCATCACACAAGCCCTTTGACACCTTGTTTAAAAATATGTAGTTAATTTACTTACTTCCTCGCACTTCAACAGACAAACATGAATATGAATTAAGACTGAAGTCTTGAACAGTATACATCAATTACTGAAAGAAATAGTCCTGCCAAAAAAACTGAACCCCATAAAACATTGAAGCCTAATCTTCAAAGTAACAAAAATAAAATGCAATAGTAAACTAACTGCTGCCTATAACAACATTGAGTTTTAGAACTGAGAAACAAGATATAGGTATTTTTGTGAAAATGCAAGGTTTAAGTTAGTACCAGATATTTTGAACTATATAATTCTATTTGTTTTTATAGGATGTCCACAGTTAATTATCCTTTTAAGAAGGCCTACAGAATATGAGAAAAATACATTAGCTAGCTATCAAAACAAACATATTTTAAAATAACTCATTAATATAACTCACCAGTACTATAGTATCTCTTCAGTTCTGTGCGTCTGATGTCTTTCAGTTGATTGTACTTTTTCTTTTTCTTTTCCTTGTCTGGAGCAGTTTCCTTTTCCCCAGGAAATTTACAGTTGTCTTCAGAGGAACTGATTTGCTCCAAAATAACTTTACTTTCATCATCTTTCTCAGAAGGTGTTTTGGAAACGGGAGATCCAGAGGAATTGGCAGAGACAGTCTCGGTGGTTTGTTTGACTTGCCTTTTCTTTTTCAAGCTGTGCATAAAGAAAAGAAACCCACATTAACATTTAGCCAACCTCTAGAGACAAGTTAACTCACCTTCTAAATTGATCTTTTTAAAAGATTAATTTAATATCAGAGTTCCTTACAACCCTTCAAAAATCACATACGTGGCATCAGTAACTTGGTAACTTAGATGATCCTACCTTATACTCTTTCTTCCTTTATATAATCTCAAGGATACCTTCTCAAAAATAACAAAGTTTTACTGTTGTTTACTGAGGAGAAAGAACAAAGAAAAACAAACAAACAAACCACTGAAAAACTGGGGGTTTTTAAAAGTACCAGACATCTAAATGTAAAAATAAGATACAGAATTCATGTTTTCCAGATGAAGCTTGGTATAAAATAAAACCTCAGATCACAATGCACTATAACACAACAGCTAACAATAATTCCACAGTTCACTGCTCCTGCTTTACAAAACCATCTGTTCTCATATAAACTTGTTATTTTTTTCCATTTTGTCCAAGGTTATCTCCTAGAGGCCACTCATGCTACTCCACAGCTGTTCTGGCACAACCCACACTAGTTGGTATTCCAAGTGTCACTGGGGAGCTCCTTCTGCAACATTATCAGTGTGGCCACAAACTGTTTGTGCCAGAACATTTTCCAGCTGCCTAGATTTCTTCTGAGAGAAATCTTAATGAGCTGCCTATAGATCTTCCAACTTATCACTATAGCAACTAGAGCATTTTCATTTTGGAAGACTCCTTAAAGCACAGATAAGTGAGAAAGATGCTTCAGGAATCCTAACACAGAATTTTCTGCTAAAAAACCATCTATGGCACTGAGTTTGCTTAGTGAGAGCAAAGACTGACTTTATGGGTTGAGGGTCACTCTCACTAAAATAGCTCCCAGTTAATCACTGACTCATACCATACAAAATGAAAAACTAATCTATCTAATGCTCCTTATCTTCAGTACATTAACTTATTAGTTACAAGGTACCTAAGGGAGTGAGTAGTATATTTATCTTGTTGATGCCAAAAACTTTGCTTTGTGCACAGGAAGAATTATGCATAGAAAATACAGACAACCAGTGAGTCACCACAAATGGGAAAAGGTCTCATGAGCTCACAGCAGTGGCTTACGTAAGTGAAAACTTAATACAGTAAGTTATTAATATAATGCAGGAATTTCACAGATGCTTTCTTCCATCTTTTTTGTTTATATGCTTTTCATGTATTCTTTTAGACTGCAACACAAAATAAATACACAGAGGAATTGAAAATTTTAGAAAGACATTTCAGGCTACACACCTTCTTTAAAAAATAAAATACTAAAACCAGTTCCAAGTTTAGAACATTTAGACTGAGAAGGGTCAGTTTCTGAGAGTACATGTTACCAACATTTTCCAGTGAAACACTTCAAAATACAACAGTATTGTTGTATTGTTTGTGTTACAAATGGTGTCTATCACACATGTATGTATACATATTTCTTTCATGCATCCCAAAGTAGGAATATTCACATCCTGCAGCCAATCCTGTGGGATGCTGTGCTCCCCATTCACTCAAACTCACAGATCTGTAAGATAACTAGCAGTAGTAGCTCATGCTCTGCCCAGAAAGAGACAGCTACTGTATATGAAATTTATGGATTCAGTCCTGACTACATATGGAAACACCATACAGGGATTTAGAAAATATAGAAGTGACTTCATCTATATAACAAATAAGTGTTTAAACTGACTGTTACACTAGACTAATTAAAATTTGCATATGCAAAGGAGGCTTATTTTTAACTAGTAAGCCACAGTCCTTATAAAAGGCTGCTGTAGCAATCACAAAACATTGCAAACACTTTGCATGCACAATGTGTATATTTAGCTCTGGTGTAAATCTTGTCAACACAGCCCTCTATGCTGAAATGGCATATTCCTACCATGGTTATACCCAATTACAGACTTCTAAATGAGCCACATTCCTGACTTTTGACTCTAGTGACTCGAGGACCTTCCTGTGAGTGTGCATATCACAGGATACCCAAATCACCTGCTTCAGTACATGAGAACTAGCAAGCATCCACTGGCACCCCACTTCTACTCACACTGCAGCAGAGACTTCTGTCTTCAGATTCCCAGTCTATTTGTTTTGATCACAAACTCTGTTTAGTAAGCTTTCTGTAGTATGATTGTAGTATCTCAAAACAACAGGAGAGCCACTAGTGGAAAACAAAGAACCCTTTCTGGCAGGGGGAGAAAAAGAATAAAGAGTAAAACCTCTCTGGAGGTCAACAGTCCTTGTGACAATACTAACAGCTTCTGTCAGTACTTTCCTTAAAACATTCACATTTGAAGTGGAGTTTTCAAAGATGCCCTGGTCCATTAGCGATATAAAACAGGAAAGCAGAAAGAGTCTGAACTGACTCACTGCAATGCAGCTGACTGGTTCCTGTCCTCTGTGTTTAATCCTGCTGCACTCCCACTCTTACAGCACACTGGGGGCTCATTACACGATGTACAGCATCCCCAGCACGCAGCTGCTGCTGCTGCTGCGAATGGACAGTGACACCAGTCCTTCAGGTACAAGTGATGAAGAATCTGGGAACTCCATAATTTCTATTCCATCACCATGGCAAGTATCAGATTTTCAGACGGTGCCAAGCTTACTCCTCCTGCCCACTGCTCTGTTTGAAGGTCATGACCATCCAACTCCAAAGGTGCTAACCTTGGCATTAGGAAAAAAACCTAAATTAAGATCAAGCATCCATGACTTTCCAGAGAGTACTCAGAGTACCTGCAACTCTGTCTAGGGTTGTGATCTTTGCTTGTAAGATGCTTCTTCCTGAGGTTTCTAAAGCCTGGTAAAAATTACCAAAACCCCTTTAATTCACTGCTTCTGAAAAACCTTGCCTGTAATATATCAAGGAACCAAAACAAGCCTTCAACAGCATTTAAAACCATAATGGCAGCCTCAAACCTACTATGCTTTTTGACATTATGCACCCTCTCTATAAAGGGTGCATAATGTCAAAAAGCAAAGCCCTGTATATACACACAAGGCAATTCATTATTAATGCACACTTGGTACACTGCTGCAGAGACTGGGCTGTGAAGAGCACAGCTAGAGGGTTTACTGCATCTTAAACTCCATTCCCTCCTTCAGCCTCCACTTACCCTTCTATCACACTGACCTGTATATCCCACACAAGCTGCCAGTCCTTCTCCTGCTCAGATTTCACTCCATCACCTCCTAAAGAAGGTAGGGGCTGAAAGTTTAATCTATTCTTCTCTCAGGTCTCAGGTATTTCCTAACCTTCATGACAAGAGCTGCTATGAACGATGGTTTTAAGAACATAGTTTGTTGAATTGTTTATTCTTTCAACTACTTTGGAAGACTTTGAGTGGGTTTGTTCAGTTTCTAAGGGGATGTCTGTGAACCAATCTAACATTCAGTTTTGTCCTAATAGTTATGAAAGTAAAAGTGAGCTGAACAAAAATAACAAAAAAATTAAATCTCTCAGTTTGATCTTGTTCTGCAAGTAAATCAGCCTTTTAGGCAAAACAAGATGCATACAATGAATTCATAAAGTGTTGCTGCAGAAAATGCTTGTATTTCAGTTTCAGTTGATGGATATGTTGTGTTCCACGAAGAAAGCTGCTGGGGGAAGAAAGAAAAAGAAACAGGGAGGGCAGGATAAACAAACATCTTATCTGCAAAAACACTCCTGTTTATGAAGAAAGTCTTACACATCTGTAATTTCATTTAGACACCAGATATCATTTTTCAAACTAGTTTATTCTAGGCAAAACATTTCTTCTGAGTTTTTACAGAGGGATCCATTTCCAGCCCCTCGAGTGCTTTCTGAGCAACAACCAGTAAGCCATTTTCTAAGTTGGTCCAAATACAAAGTTTGCCAGCAAAAGCAAAACTTACTGCAATACAAAGATCATTTAATTCAATAAAGACTAACGATCTGAAATGGACACAATCTCAGAGTAGGCAGGTAAAAATGCAAAGTTAGCAGTGCTTACTTAAATTAATTTGCAACTGACTGTTTAATACATTGGGCACTGAATTACAGGAAAAGAGCTAGGAAAGATTCCAAGAAATGGCCTACTTCATCTTCCAGACCCAGCTCTATCTGACTGCCTATGACAGGCAAATAACTAATTTTTAGAACAAAACAGCCTGAATTTCCCATTGCACTTACAAGATAGGTGGTTAGGGTAAAAAGAAAACTGCTCAGAGAAAAGAGGGTGATTTTATCTGCCAACTTTCACTAGAAACTACAATCAACCAGTAAAGCAACTCTGACACTGAGACAATAAAGACATGGGAATCTGACAGTAACTTTTCCCCTAGAAATTTCATTTGGTTTTGCTTAACATTTATTCCATAGAAGTGTCTAACAGACAATTCAATAGGACCTCGTTCAATACATAATATCACAGTCAAAGAGCACTAGGTCCTTATCACAGGATGTCCTAAAAACTCCTGTGATAGTAAGGCATGTTTTTTATGATGTATTAGATTAATAAAGATCATACACCATGAGCAACTCTTGCTTTAGAAACAAAAGCATCTAATAAAGTGGCCCTCCAAAAATAGAAACAAAGGGAGGGGGAAGGGAGAAGAAATCTTTTTATCTTTCAGCTGACAAGCTGAAGTTTTCCTTTTTGGATATTTTCCACAATGTGCATCCTCTAAAATGTGCCTTGATATCTGGCATACAATCATCTTAACATCCTGCAGAGCATAAACAGATCACGTTCCTCAAATACCATTTTTAAAAATCTATTTATGCATACATACAATAAGATTACAAAAAAAAACCCTTAAAACACTTCAAACACCTTAATCTGTTTTGTTCCCATTAAGATTCCTTTATATAAAAATTATATACACCCCAATTATTTGCTTCAGAATTAATAATTTTAATCTTAATTTAAATCTCTGTGCTGATTATAATATATACTAGTTTCTTTCTACCCTCCATGCCTTTCTCCACCCATCCAGAAGAGCTAAAT